ACAGCTAGATACCTAAACCACTGAGCTATCCATCCAGCTCTTATGTGTTGAAGAAATGGCAAATAACAGATGCTGAATTTAATACTCTGAAGGGAAAATAAGTTAACCAGAAGCGCAGATGTGACTTCTGGTTTTACATGAATTAAGGCCACAATCTGAATCTGCTACAACAGCCAAGGCTTTCCAGATTTCTAAATGTTCTAGAATTGCCCATACATCTTTAAACAATGTCTCCTCGTGCTGAAGCCCACATAGCTCTCTCTCTCAATACAAAAGAGCTATCTATGAACTGTAAAATGAGATTCTACCACAAAACACTGCCTGCAAGTGGGATTACAACAAATCCAAAGAGCAGCAGACTAAATACTGACAACTGCTCTACTAGGGAAAGAATCCTGCCCCTTAGAAATCCTGGAGAGCCAGCTGAACAAAGACATTGGGGCTTGTATTTCAATGGCCACCTTGCTTCCAAGGTGATACATTTGCTTTCATGCCCTTTATCTGCAACCTTAAGAGCAGAAGAAGAGCCCCCACTGGATCAGGCCAAGGGCCCAACTAGTCCAGTTTCTTGTATCTCACAGCCACCAGATGCCTCTGGGAGTGCACGAGACAACTAGATACCGGTCACCACCCGGAAAAGTTTCGTGTCATCTGCAAACCTGGTCACTCCGCTGCTTATCCCTGTCTCCAGGTCATTGATGAACAGGTTGAAAAGCATCAGGGCAGATCCCTGGGGTATACTGCCAAGGGCCCAACTAGTCCAGTTTCTTGTATCTCACAGCCACCAGATGCCTCTGGGAGTGCACGAGACAACTAGATACCGGTCACCACCCGGAAAAGTTTCGTGTCATCTGCAAACCTGGTCACTCCGCTGCTTATCCCTGTCTCCAGGTCATTGATGAACAGGTTGAAAAGCATCAGGGCAGATCCCTGGGGTACAATGCTTTTTACCCCTCTCCGTTGTGAAAATTGCCCATTGACACCTACTCTCTGTATCCTGGTTCTCAACCAATTCCCAGTCCATAAGAGGACCTGCCCTCTTATCCCGACTGTGGTTTTCTCAGCAGCTTTTGGTGAGGGGCTGTGTCAAATGCCTTCTGAAAATCCAGATAGATAATATCCACTGGTCTGCCCCCATCCACATGCCTGTTGATCTTTTCAAAGAATTCTAAAAGGTTTGTGAGGCAAGACTTGCCCTTCCAGAACCCATGCTGATTTTCCCATGCTTGTGCCCAGCTTGCGGTGGGGAGGATACAGCCTGTATCATTAAATTGTAAATTTGCCCAGAGTGCTTTAAGCACTATGCGGTGGTGTGTAAGCAACATGCTTTTAGCTGAGGGCCTGAAAAGGCTTTGTGTTATGTGTGCAGTAAGTGAGGACATATGGGGCATGAGAACTTTCACAAATGGTGACAACTGCCACCCCACTGTAAGAAATTTGCTATCTGGTCAATCATTAATTCCTTCCTTCTTTCTTTCTTTCCCTCCCCCAGCTCTGAGTTCCTTTGCAGGATCATCTGGTTTGATAGCTTTTACACACAATTCTGGGCCCATTTGGTTTGATGCCCTTGTGCCAGTTTCCGAAACCTGCTGGAATTCTATTCCTCCAGCACTGCCTGCCCAGCTTCTGTGACATCACAAGCATTTCTCCCTTGGTCATAGGTTTTCGTTCTAAAATCTCAAGGGATGGGGTGTTGCTGACCAGGGGCACCCCTGGTTTATATATATAAGGTTTTGTATATGTGTGTGTGTGTGCGCGCGCACACACACACAAAAAACCTTTTATTGTGTCTACAAAAAACCTATAGAATCATTAATGCAAGATGGTGCCTGCATTTGGTAGCATTCACCATGCATTACAATAGCATCACACTTGTTTTTCCTTTGTATAGGTTTCACTTCCAGCTAAGAACTGCAATGTTTAATCTTGAACTTTGGCTTACCTTAATCAAGCGCTTTCATTCTCACCGAAGTAACTTGAAGTGAATCTTAACTAAATGTGGGAAGTGCAACTTTTATTTTCCTTACAGCAGAACTAAGCAACTGTTAGGAGCCAAATATGGCCGGTCCACTACTCCCAGCCTCCCTCATGACTGGCAGTGCTTCCTAAGGCCGATAGGAATATTTGTACAGTATTTGATAGGAATATTTAAATTGTAAATTGCCCAGAGAGTGCTTTAAGCACTATAGGGTGGTATGTAAGCAACATGCTAGGCAACATGCTTCCTAAGCTGGACTAGATGGGCCCTTGGCCTGATCCAGCAGGGCTCTTCTTATATTCTTACTCAGTTTACTGACCTTGGAAGGATGGAAGGCTGAGTGAACCTCAAGCTGGGATTGAATACAGGTCATGAGCATTAGTGTTAAAATATACCCTTAAGCTAAACAGGACAAACTGATGTATCCAGACTTTAAAAATAACAATTTGAAATTAACAGTAGACTGGTACTTTTTGAGGGCAAGGAGAATGTTGGATACATGTTTTCTTGTCCTCCTGATTTATATGAAATTAACAATTTTAATGCTAGCGTGCTATATTCAGGTTCTACGAAAGGATAAGAAAAACTGAACTTCCAACCCATTGAGAGAAGTGAGCTAACAGCTGTTGACAGTGGTCTTTCTGGTGGGTGTGGTCCTGGATCTTTCTGGGGAAGGATGTGAAAGGGCAGCAAGATAAATAGGAAACAGATTGTATCTAAGGCCTCTACCACATTCACAACTCAGAGGAGTTTGCGTCCAACATCAGGGAACTGAAACTAAATCCTGATGAAACCATGGTATCCTTTGATGTCACATCCCTCTTCACCAGCATTCCCACCTCCAATGCCCTAAAAACTGTAAAAAGGAGACTGGAAGAAGACAACACCCTCTCCACCAGAAGCAACCTCAATATGGACCAGATATACCTGCTGCTGGACCTCTGATCACCCCTTACTTCACCTACAGAGCTGACCTTTACAGACATGGCTGTGCCATGGGTTCCCTGGTGTCACACACTGTTGCCAACTTATACATGGAAGAAGTGGAAAAGAAGGCACTAAACACCTTCCAGGGGACAACTCTGACTGACTGGTTCAGGTATGTGGACGATACCTGGGTGAAGATCAAGATTCAGGCAGTACAGACTTTCACAGACCACATAAATGCAGTGGACCCAAATATCAAGCTCACCAGGGAAGATGCCAGACAACCGGCTGGCTTTCCTGGACTGTGCAGGCATCATAGGATTCAACAGCAGGTTAGGAATAGAAATCTACAGAAAACCTACACACACTGAGCAATACCTGCAGTTTGACTTTCATCACCCACTGGAACACAAAGTAGGGGTCATCAGGACGCTAAACCAGAGCAAGAAACATCCCCATCTCCACAGAAGCCAAGAAGAAGGAAGATGGACATCTGACGACAGCCCTTAAGGCTTGTGGATATCCAAAATGGGCCTTTAACGAGGCAACGTCCTGAACCAGCAGGACAATGGAACAGTCTGAGACCCAGAGCCGACAGAAGAACCTGGTTATTCGTTACATGGTAGGTGTGTCTGAAAAGCTCAAAAGGATTTTTGGTAAACACCACATACCCGTGCACTTCAAACCCACAAGCACACTAAGGCAGAGACCTGTCCACCCAAAAGACCAGACACCAAAACATAACAGGAGCAATACTGTATATGCAGTCCCAGGCAAAGAGGAGTGTTCGGAGCTCTACATTGGAGAAACCAAACATCAACTAAACAGGAGAACTGCCCAGCACAGGAGAGGCAGTGGCATTGGAGAAACCAAACATCAACTAAACAGAACTGCCTAGCAAAGGAGGGGCAATGACTCAGGACCCACAATTAGCAGTGTTCCTTCATTTGAAGGACACTCATTTGATGACAAAGATCTACTCATTTTGGACGGAGAAGATAGGTGGTTTGAGAGAGGGGTCAGGGAGGCCATACATGTGCATGTAGAAAATCCCTCACTCAATAGGGGTGGAGACCTTAGATGCAATCTGTCTCCTATTTATCATGCTGCCTTTTCACCCATCCCCCAGAAAGATCAGGACCACACCCATCAGAAGGACTACTGTTAATGACCCATGACAACGGGTGGAGAAGGACTGCCGAAGTAGGATTTTCATTCATCAGGGAGGCCATACATGTGCATGTAGAAAATCCCTCACTCAATAGGGGTGGAGACCTTAGATGCAATCTGTCTCCTATTTATCATGCTGCCTTTTCACCCATCCCCCAGAAAGATCAGGACCACACCCATCAGAAGGACTACTGTTAATGACCCATGACAACGGGTGGAGAAGGACTGCCCAAGTAGGATTTTCATTCATCTCCCCCCATCCTTTGTCCATCTAATGAGCCTATTCAGACCAAGGGGAAGTGAAACCAATGAGGAGGATATATCAGGGGTCTCCTATCAACTCTCCTCAGACTGAAGAAGCTACTTGGATGAGTAGCGAAACGTTTGAGCCTAGTAAGGAAGAAGTCCAGTTGCCATGACTCAACTTCCAGATAACCTCACCTGAATGACTGAAAATCTTCACATATATACTGATCATCTATTCAGCTGTCCCAGCTGACATCAAGACCATGCTCTGGATCCATATGGTAAGAATCTCCTTTAATTGTGAGGTAAACATTTACTCTGGTCACAAGGGCTGCTTCAAAAGCCACCTCTCCCCCCACAAGTCTCAAACAAGTTGGGAAACACTGTTTGGGAGCCATGTGGCTCAAACCAACTGTTCCTATGGGGGAAAGAAAATCACACAGCTCTTAAAGAATAAACTATTTTCAGGGTTTATTTTATTTAAATAAAAATTATAATTTATACCAAGAAACCCCCCCCCCCTTGTTTCTTAAACAAACAAGATTTTCTTAAAAAATGTACAGGGCAAATTGTTTCAGTTCAATTTCTCATACAGTACAAGTCTCCTGTTGAACAAAAGTTACACTGCTAATGAATTATTTACAACTTCAAAATATAGACTCAACTTCAGACATAAAAATTATTTCACATCCTATTTAATGATTAGTAGCAGAAATAAAACATCTGCCAAAAATGTACATCTTTCATTATAAACTACCAGGGTTTTTTTAATTTAAAGTGTTCACAATGTTTATGCTCCTGCTTCTCCGCAGCGTCCTCCCTTGGTTTATCGAGCTCGCGAATTGGTTTTGTGGATTTTTGTGCGATGGTGTTACGCAAGTCATCTAGGGTCAAATCTTGCCCCACAGAGCTAACAGTGCAGTTACAGGTATCAAGACCTCTGTTGCTAGCAACTGAAGACAGGAACATAAGGAAGTGGTCAGTTTTCATCTTCCTTTTCACTAAGAAAGGTTCTCAAACTTGACCACTGTGTTAAAAAAAAGTTACCCAATTAAACACAAAGAATCACCAAGAAGCCACAGACTAAATCGGGATAACACAGCAAATTTATGGAAAATTGTATTTTAAAAATTCTGCAGAAAAATAACACTTCACATTAAGTAGCACTACAGAACTTCAGTTCAGTAGGCTGTACTGCAAATGCCATGTCAGGAGATGGATTCAGAATAAACCTAGAAGTGGGTCCATGAATATAGAACAGGCTGATACGTGATCAGCATTTCAGGATACAGGAAAGGAAAAGTATTAAGGTACTCAAACACAGCAAAGTTATCCTACAGCATTGTGAAAAATGATGTATTACACAACATGGTTGTTCGTTTTATAGCAGTTCTTTGCATAATGTAAAGCTGAACTTTGCAAAAAATATATATGTGCATGTCTGCCTCATTACACATTTGCTCTCTTTAAAAGTCCAGTTCATTCACTAGGTATCGGAACGAACATTCATTGCATTGTAGTTTGCAAGAGATTTACTGCCTCAACCATCAGGTTTGCATTGTTTAGACGTGCAGATGGGTTTGGACAAACCTCTGTTTGTAATATAAGAGCAGGAAGAGGCAAATTAAAGACCATCACTCATCCTTGAATTGTATGACTACGCTGTCACTCTGAAAAATGCAAGTGGCCACTCCTTGTGGCACTGTCCTCATACCATAAGCAGAGAGGATTTTAAGGAACCACATTCTAGAACAATACTTCAGTCGGCTAGTTAGGGGAAGGAGGTATTAAATGCTGTCACCCGATTTTCCACCAGAGCCCGTGTTTTCATGATCAGAGTGAAGGTAAAAATCACATTTGAGAATAATACAATAATAAGAAAAAGAACTTACCATGTAAAAAATACCTGGGTTCCCCCCCTCCTAAAAATGAGAATCTCGTGAACACTCATGGAATTTTTTTAAAAAAGACAAACTCAAGTGTACCTGGGGGGAACAATCTAGCAGTGTACTTCCACAGGATATCACTGTTTCCACTTCAGCTCCCCTTCCTTGCAAGTCCCTACGCATCCTAAAATTGTGCAATAAGGGCTAGGAAAGCTTTGGAGCAGATTTTTTTACACAATGCTGAGGGCTCAAACAGAGAGAAGGGGGGGAAGTCCCTCTCGTGCCAGAGTTGGTTATATACCCATGGTTCTTGGCCTATGACTTAGATTTAGACTAGAAAGAACATTAAGCTAATGTAATGCTTATTTATCTATCAGTTATTCTATGTTTATGCTCAACAAAATCCTTATGGAGAAAGACGCTCTATTTCTGTTACACAGGCCCTTCTTCCTTCAGCATCTTCGGATGTTTATACATTCTTCTGCTCCTACGTTTATGCAAGTCCCAGTTAAAACCACAAGAAGCTGAACTGGTTTCATAAGCTTACTACCTTGGTATCTAATATTTTCTGTTAGGTTGTGGGATGTTGGTGAACCTTCTAATAAAGACTTCCAGGGGATTCTGGTTCAAAAGAGAATTTCAAGGGCACTCAGCCCTTTGCTGGGAGAGGGGGTCCTAATACAGAAGACTACTGTATGCAAAATATTTCCCCAACTACTCTTCTCTCAGATTTATTCACGGTTCCTTGTAAAACACAAAACACGTGAGGAAAGGAGTCTTTTGCCCTCAACACAAACTGAAGTTCACAGAAGTCCACTTTCCTGTTAACACTTATCCTGCTGATGAGGTTATTAGAGCAGCTGACTACAGGTTATATGCAAAACTAATGTAACAGAGGCCCTACAAACAATTTGTAAGCAAGGGATCTGCCTTTTGGAGCAGAGCAACTGGGAACACAGAAAGAACCAGGGGTGATAATGGGTGTTCTGCTGTCACCTATCCCCCACTTCAAGTATAACCTTTCAATAGAATTACTCCTTTCAGTGTGTCTCCAATCATATTTTTAACCCTTATAACCAAATGGCTATAAGCACACACCAGAGAAAGGTCTGAGGTGGCAATCTAAAGAGGAAAATTGGCATTTTTAGATGGGGTTAATACTTCCATAGTATTACAAATACTGTTTACTCTTCAGGGCCAACCCAAGCTGTTTTACTGCCTGATGCAAAGATAATGCCCCAAACCCGATATTCTATGTGCTGACTGTCCCAACCACAATCGAAGTTACTGCTGCCCTAAGGTGCTTCTTTCCCTCTATCTAATGGCGGGGCTGACCTTGTTACTTCTGCCATCCTTTCTGCTCTTTAAAGATTGCACAGTGCACTGGTAGTACATGTGTCTATAAAATGGTCAGCATCTGAAACTTTGTGAGTATACTTTCTTGATTCAAGCCTTCCATCAGCAAGGCGTGTTACAGAGATAAAGCCTGAAAGAAGCAAAAATAACCACCACTAACAAATTAGTCAATGAATATTTGCAGAACAAAAATGTACTTTAAGAACACAGAAAGAGATGATTGAAAACATTGTGTTGTGAATTTGATAAGCAGAACAGTACTCTCATGTGCTCTATTATGACAAAGGTGAGAAACAACTGGCTCTCCAGATGTTGAAGAACTATTATTCCCATTGTTATCTCATAGTTGGCCAAGCCGGCTGGTGCCCCTGAGAGCTTCCATGTAACAACATCTGAAAGGTTAGCGTGTTCTCCAGCCCTGTTTTACTCTAAAAAAAACACATTTCCATAACTTTAAAAACTGCCCCCAGTATATTAAACATGTTGAAGGGAAAAATGCTTTCAACAAAACTGTGAAGGCAGCACAATGCCACTGTAGGATGTGTGGAAAATAATTCCTTGAAGTGAAGGTACACAATTTTTTAAAAAAAACTTAAAAATCTCTTGAAAACAAGCAGCATCACTTATTGTGTTACAAAAGGAGATGAAAAATGAGAGATCAGGAAATTCCCACTGTGAGGAACAGTATTTCTTTCTCACTATAATCTCCAATACAGATATTATTTGAAGCTACAGAAATTAGCAAGATAGTTTGCTTTAAGAACGACTACTTGGATTCATACTTTCAGTTAAAACTACTTAGGATCTCAATTAGTAGAATAAGGACCTCTCCACAGCATGTTGTTGATCACTTGTTTTGCCGGTCAGGCTGCTCTCTCGCACCCAGTTACATATACAGATATGCCACTGAAATCAAGTTGACTTGTGCATTAGAACTATGTACAGAACCCGTAGCAGAAGAGAAAGAGAATATACTGTCATACCCTGGGATTTCAGGTAGGACAAGACAGCTTCCTTGGTCTATCCCCAAGCCCGTTTTGCCAAGTATTTTCCTAAGCTTTTTAATGTCAGTAAATAAACATTAAAAGTGCTTAATGTGCAAGGCTAATAGTGATGATAGCACTTTCACTGTCATTTTCTTTTTTTCTTTTCTTTTGTTTTTTACAAAAAGCTTTAGAAAACAAAAACGTGGAAGGCATATATAAAATACACTTCTGTAACATAAGACAAAACGCGACGAAGAAAATTATTGCAGAATTGATGAAGGGTGTTCCACCTTTTATTCACTACCGAGTGAGTAAAATTAATGAAGTCTTCCCAGGAGAATCAGCAATGGTGATATACTAGCTTTCACTGGTGGATGCTGCAGAGGTTATCTTCATATACTGATTGAATATGGTCTCAAAAGCTTCGTCTCTGTGTACCATGGCACCAAACACTAAAGGCTGGAGGACAAAAAGAAAGAACTTTTTAAAAAATCAGTAACAGAAATGCTTTTATAATTTTTTTTTTCTAAAAGACACAGGACAAAAAGAAAGAGGGAGGCAGATGGAAAACGAAACAAACTGAGGCGCTCGTTCTTAGAGCTGCAGAGCTTCTTACAATAATCAGGTAAGATGAAAACAGTTTAGGGAAATAAGTAGCCCAACACAGCCTGTCTCTCAGTGCTGACTGGGTGGTCATAATTCACATTTCTCTCTCCACTGCAGCTTGATGGAACAGGTTTATAGTAGGCCTCATTTCCAGTATCGTATTCCTACCACAAGCCTTCAATAAACTTCATTACAAATTTCCTCCAAATCACCATCGCTCTTCCACTGTTCCCAGCAAAAGGCACCAATGTGCTAAAGTTCTTTTTAAAAACAACCAATCAATTTTTCTTAAACTGTACATCCGCAATAATAAATATTTTCCCTTTCAGAAACAATGTATGAATTCCCTTAAGCTGCACGTTACAGCAGGGAGACTTGCACAATTCAATAAACAATTTATTGAAATGGCCCACATGGCTCAAGTTAACAACATCGATAGTCCAGGAAGGTTCTACTGATACTGTTGGTGATAAATAATAGAGTGAAGACATTTCATTTGCACACTTACTTTCTGTGTAGAAGGTGTGGATACCGCAATACCCATCCCAGATCCTGGTAGAACAGACAGCACTTTGTACTAAAAATAAACATAAAAGTAAGAAAATGCTTATTTATGAAATGCTTATACAAGTATGACTGAAGGTAACTCACAGAAGTTCTCCAATGCAGAAGTTTGGAATGCACTTTCCCATAAGTATAGCTAATCTGCTTTTTTCTTTAATAGCACCAGTTCTCTTGTCCAGAGCAGTTAAAAAAAAAGAGAGGCGTATTTCCTAGTGAGAAGTTTCTGGATTTGTGCTCTGCATCACTACACAACTTAAATGCCAAACTGTCCAGAAACTCTGAAAACGAAATACAGAATTCGGTATGGAACTGGGTATCAGCCAGCTTTATGATGTTCAGCTCAAGGTACTGGTGGGACACCAAATCAGTTTAAGTACAACAGGTGATTCTATAACATGAAATTACTTTTGCTTGTGTTTTAGTCACAGCTTCAAACTTTATCCCCAATAATACCATCGCAAGGTGTTTTACCTGGCTGATGCCAACATTTCATCTATATATATGTGAAAACGGAAACTGGGAATATCAAAGGTGGTAGTGAATTTTGCCCCAGTCAACTTCAATTTGTGCTTCTGAATGCAGATCGTTTATTTCTACACTCTCTCTGCTTCTTTGTTTGTTATATAATCAATTTCTAAAGTGTGTCTGCCATTTTGGCACCCCTTCCCCCAAGCCTTTTCAGAACTCTTTGCAACCCTTTAAAAAAACAACAACTGAACAACTTAATTTTATCAGCGAACATGGCTGCTGTATTGCTCATGCCAGATCATGAATGAACAAGCATTGAACCGAACACAAAACTTTGAGGGCACCACTGTTGGTATTCCCTCACTGTGAATGCAGAGCATTTCCTCCTCTACAAGAGAACCCATCCTATGCCTCTGCTTATCTCATGTATTCTAGGTTTGCTTGTGGATCTTTGGAGAACTCTTTTGGAAATTGAAGTAAACAATATCTCCTGATCCACATGTTGGTTGGCACTCTGAAAAAATCCTAAAAAATTAGTGAGTCATTGCAGGTACAATTTTCCAGCAGTACAACGGTTTTACTTTCTCTTTTTCCCTCATTTGCCCATGTGCAAACCCATATGAACATACACACATGCACACATGAAGACAAACACTTCTTTGTTATCTTCCTTGAACTTTTTGGAAAGGGAGGATACAAGTGGTTTAAATGAAATCTTCTTCTTCGTGGAGATCAGTAGATCTAGTTTAAAACAGGCATTCCCAAGTAAGAACTGAATGACTAGAAAGGGGGATAAATTCTTTGCTCTAAGAACCGGGTACAGTTAAGTCAATATTAAGTGCTTTTTAATTAAAGAGTACATTAACTCTCCCGGTACATCTGTGAACCTAATCTGCCTTTACTGTGTCTGTTTGTGTTATTAAAGCATACAAAGCCACAACATATGACCAGTATCCTGTCCCATAGCTCAGCATAGTGGAATGAAATCACCAGCAGTAGCAGATTGCCACTAATTAGAGTTCCTGCTTCAGTTTTGGATTTTGTATGACGTGTATTCAAAGAGTGGCAATCTCTTAGCACTGGTGATGTCTGTCTCTCACTACGTCCACAGAGGTACAGAACAGGATACTGGGCTCTGCTTTTTCAAAAGGAAGATATATCCTTATCAGGGTAGAGTTGGACTGCAACTCCCTCTAGCCCCAAAGGGGTGATGGAAACTGTAGTCCAACAACATAGGAGGACACGTTAGCAACTGCTGCGGTACAGGCAATCCTTCTCTCAAATAAAGAAAAAAAATCAAAAATAAAAACAGAACAAATAAGAAACCCAAAACATCACAGACTTACCTTTTGGATATCTGTTATCTCTGTTAATTTTATCACTTTATTTCTTTTAGAAGAACCGGATTTGGAACTCTCAAAGCACAGATAACTGAAGAAAAGGGAGACAATTCATATGATGCTGTCATTTAAAAATTTTAATTTCAACCCAACATAAATACTGTAGCTTTACAAGCTAATGTGAAGACAATTAAATTCATGGAGTGGTATTAAAATTAATAAAGCTTTAACAGGAAGTTGAATGTTGAAAGCCTATACAGGAGACCACCAGCTGATGCTGGCTTCCTTTACAACCCTCTGCTTTTGCAGTCAGTCCAGCATCACTGCATGGCCCCTTAAAACTCAGCTTTGCAGCCTCAGAAGATTGGCACGCAAATGCCAGGAAGTGCAACAACAGATGAAACAGAGGGGGATGGAGGTAACAGAGTGGGGGGGGGGAGAAGGAGCAAGCAAGACAGTGCAGGACATACAGGGGAAGAGAGAAGAGAGCCATGGGACAGGAGAAGTAGGCATGGTGGTGGAGACGGGAGGCAGAAGGGAGAAGACAGCAGAGGAAGGACTAGAAGAAGCAAGCAAAACAACTGAGGATATAGAAGGGAAGGAAAAAGGGCTGTGACTGAGGCTTGACAACTGTCTGGAAGCCAAATCCCTGTTTCGACATTACTCCTGATGGAAAAGTAGGGTTTGACTTAGGATGGCACACTATATGTCACCGGGGAACCAATTAGGTCTTAAGAGGATGGCTATGGTGGAAGATTTTATGTACTACAGTGGGGTCTCTACTTAAGAACTTAATCCGTATTGGAAGGTGGTTCTCAAGTTGAAAAGTTCTTATGTTGAATCTGCATTTCCCATAGGAACGCATTGAAAACCATTTAATCCGTATCTGCTCTTTTCCGTCCATAGAAACTACAGTGGAACCACTACTTAAGAACTTAATCTATTTTGGAATGGTGTTCTTAAGTTGTAACGCTCTTAAGTTGAAGCAAAATTTCCCATAGGAATGGACTGAAAACCAATTAATCCGTTCTGGCTGTTTTTTTGTTATGTAGAGGTGCGTTCGTACATTGAAGCATTAGTTCCCATAGGAACTAATGCAAAGCTGGTTAATACGTCCTCTACCACTAGGGGGAGAATTTTTTTTTAACCTAAGATGACCTAAGGTTAAAAAAAGAGCAGGAAAGGTTTTTTTTCCTGTTCTTATCTTGGATTTCTGTTCTCAAGTAGAAGCAAAATTTAGCAAATGGAGCTGTTCTTAAGTTGGATTGTTCTTAAGTAGAGACGGTCTTAAGTAGAGACCCCACTGTATTATATACTGCCATCACAACAGAAAACTATGGCACACATTGATAACTGAAACAGGCCATCTTAAATCTTGCTCTGTGAAATACTGCACAGACTTTATGGAGGAGAATGCCAGCCTAAGAAACTACTGAAAGCACAGAAGCTTGTACTAACGGTCACCATGTTTTATACCCTACTGAAATTAGAGGTGAGCTGAAACGGAGCAAATTCCCATTTCAAAAACCATCCCTTCTTGTTGCTGGAAAAGACACCACTCTGGCCCACATCCAGTCCAAGTGTGTGAGATAAACACAAGCTTCTTTGAAATCTCCAACTGGCACCACGCCCTGCCCCGACGCTGCCGTTTCGTCTGGCAAGCATGGCATCATGGATCAGATTCACAACGCTGATGCGATGCCTTGAAGAGGGGAGCTGGAGGGTTGTCATGCATTACCAGGAGAGGACAATGTGTGGGTCTGGTAGACTTTCCACAGAAAGAAAGATAGTGTGTGCACTCCTAAGCACAGGTGCCTCTTCTAGGTAGCTGTAAAGGTAAGCTGGGGAGGAACATGCTGACTCCTAGTCACCAGTTGAGGGACAGGAGCTGCAAGGAGGCTGTACAAACTCCCTCCTTCTCTGACATCAAGAAAGTCTCGTTTCGCTGAATGAAGGAAACATTTCCAGCCTAAGTCCCAATCCTACTAATTTAGAGTGGAGGAAGAACTTTCTGAAGAAGAATTCCCTTTGCTCTGAATCAGTCTGGTCAACTCTTTAATGCCTTATCTTATAAAATGGTTAATTTAGAATAAGATTACACAAGACTAGGCGTCACCATGACCAGAAAGAAACATGGCTTGAAAACAAAGCAAGAGATAAAATAAAATGCAGAAGCAAAAGACATTTAGGCTGGCAAATGCTGCGTTTCACCATGTAAGCAAGAACCTTTTTCCTCTAGCATTATGTCTTGCATTAAGAGCCTCCCCCAAACCACAGACATGCCTTCTTCATCCTCATCAGTTTCTTCAAGAGGAAAGTGCAAACAGAATGGGATGGGGCAAGTGGCTCCCTTGTTTGCATGTTGTTTAGAGCACAGTGAGTAATGTCTGAATGGAGCTCCTGAAGGCTATAGAAAAACCAGATGCTACAATTCCTTCTTTAACTGAACTGTGACTTGTCTATTCTCAAAATAAATCACAATGTGATCCATGAGTAAGAAGTTACAGCTGCATTTTGACAATTTTTGCTGACCTGTTAAATCCAATTTTCAGCACACTTCTTGAAGCGGTTAGTGTATCAAGAGTTGTTTTAACCACATGCTAATTGTCAATTTCTTCTAGTATTCCCATAAGTAAAACCAACTAAAAAGCTAGTTTTGTCCCTGGGTGAAATCTTGCATAGTATTTTTTTTCTCAATGTGCCATTCTCTAAAATCAATCATTTGCAATGTTTTGTAAGAAATATCTTTCACTTTCCACTTCAGCCACCTGGCAGTTGTTTCAGCATCTGCACCAAATTTTGGACCATTTTCCCCTTGTAATTTCCAAATGTGGTGTAAATATTCCCAGCCAGACCCCTTTTTCCTTCACTGCAAATTTTACAGCAACTTACTTTTCTGTCACGTAGAGCACTCCATTTCTAATGTAGTCTGTGGGCATCTTCCTGTCCCTGTTAATCAAGCAGCAGCGCCAGCCATTTTCACAGACTGTGAAAAATAATTCAACTGTATTATATTTCATGAAAGCTTAAGAAATCAAAGGTTAGCAGAAATGAGAGGTTTTCAAAAAAGTGGAAGCAGAAACATAGATGTACAGTACTTGGCCCTTTGTGGCAATAAAGCTTTCCTAAAAGGAGTCAAACCCCACCCCCTTGAAAATCTTAGAAGTATATACAAAGCTTTTCCAAACGTTGCAGTATTTGTTTCAAGCACCAGGTTAAGTTACTGATCTCGCAGGATTACGCACGGTTTCTCCCCTCTCAAATTCATGATATCAGAAAGGCAAACAAGGCTATGGGCATCAAGTTCACTCACAGAGTCTTCTGGATTTCAAATAAAAGATGAATTTGACCTCCTGCCCACAGAATCCAATGGAAAATAACATAACAGTATGGTTCACTTCAGAATAATGATGCTTTCTTCATCGTTCTTTTAAACACAGTTTTACTGGTGATGAACACCAGCGTTTACCCTTGTATCGATCAATACCTGCCAAAGGACGCTCGTTTTCTGATAGATTAAATACTTCATGGAAGTTGCCTCTTTTAGTGGTATGAAAACGGGTGCTGTCTTCATCTCTGCTTACTCCCGTCGGGGCACTTGAGCCTACACAACTTCGTGATGCTGCTGTTTGAAGCTGTAAGGAAATAAAACAGGATTACTATTAATACACAACACATGTATTAATAGTCATTACTATTGATCACGTAAGCCTTCCTCATTTTACACATCCCTTGCCAACATCCTGCCTTTATTCTTCAGGATGTTCATTCACTATTAAAAAAATATCCAGGTGCAATGCAGCTATAATGTAACACTACCATGCTTGGGAGGAGCATCACCATATCTGCCTAGAAACTACAGCCAACCAACACATGAGAGTTATAACCTTTCTTACTGCAGGTTGATGAGTTGCACCTTAAATTGGTCCTGCATGGGTTAAAAAAAATGGCAGCACTGATCTCCGTGCACAAAAAAAGTAACCAATTCGAATGCAGCTGTCTCCTGCATATGCTTAGTGTCTTCAGAGACCTGCTCAGCAACATGTGTTGTCTCACCTGCATTATGAACTAGTAAAGTTTCAACAGGGCTACTCAATTTATCTATCCTGCATAATGTAAAAACCTGCTGTGATTCAAAGCACTATATGCACTTTTTAACTCCCCTTTCTCTAGGGGCTGTCCTGCATATACACACACAACCAAAAACTGCCCCTCCAAGCTTGGATGTTCTTCAGAACCAAAACTCCTGAAGGTCTGAAGGGACTGTCAGTAAGAATGACAACCAACAACCTATCCAGGTGTGTCTGCCATATATACTTCAGGAGGACTTGGGAGATAACAGTAAACTACTGTTCTTCACACCAAGCTCAAGGGAAACAGAAGAGAAACAAAGCATAATTTTTTAAGCATTAGCTGGTTAGTTAGGGTAATGATTAGTAGATAGGAGAATCTAAATTATTGATTATATATATTTTTAAACCCCCAGTACAGAGTATTTTTAATTGCAATTTCCCATGTAGCCAACCACCCAGGCCCGGAATCCCTGACAGTAAGTTCTGTTTAGCTTCCAACAACGTTAACATAGCTGTACACCTCTATCTGATTGTTTCTTTCTATATTACCTACCATAGATTTAAGGAATGTTGACTGTATTCTAAGATTTCCATAGAGATTTAGAGTGGGTGCAGGGAAGACCTTTTCTGGTTCAGTGACTCCTAATTAAGTAAACTGCATTTGAACAGTTAATTATCCTATTCAAACCCTTTAAGTGTAAACTGACATGCATCAGCTGGATTCCTTATGCCAAGTCATTTTTCCCCAAGTTCTAGTAAAACTACAACTGAGGATGTGACTACACTGGGATTCACAGCTTGTAATATGTTTGAGATCACAGCCAGTGCTCACACATGGGCTGCAGATTGATTTGGGAGTTCACCTTTCATATTGGATGCGATTCAGTTCACGTTCCGGCCTACAGCCCCCCCCTTCTTTCCTTCCTTCCACTGGTCCTGCCTCTGCTGATGCCTTTATGGGGCATAAATACAGGGAATAATAATAAAAAGGACCCAGCAATAAGATGATCAGGTAATCTAGGGATGATTCTATATGTATGAAAACTAAATATAAATAAATAAATTCAGAGGAAGAAATGCAGGGGCATGTTCCCCGGGTTCTGAACATCGTGCTCCAACTGCCTACATCACTGAAACACAACTTACAGACACACCCCTCAAATTTAAAAGAATGTATCACAACTAACCAAATGAGAAAAAAAAAACATTTTGATTGTTCCAGCTTGAAAAAGCAGAAGTCTCCCAGGGGCATAGAAAAAAAGCCACTTTGGGAGCAAAAAGCGTTGAACCAATTCAAATCAGCCTTTATAACATGTGGTCAGTAAAAAATATTCAAGTTGAACATTTTATAAGCAGACCAAATCCTGCAGTATTTGACCAAGTAATCGCAGCCAGTGTAGTAGAATATGACAAACACATTTGGGAAATGCCAGTATTCATGGGCAGAGTAGTTGGATATACTACTACTTAATTACAGGACTGGTCAGTTTTTAGGGTGGGGATGCATTGTCCTGCTGAATCCTTAAGAGGTTGCAAATTGGTTTCAAATGAGGTACACAGAGCAGGCAGCTTTGGTTCAAGAAGGCTTCTCAGAATATCACTGGGTCTGAAGATAAAGGACATATTCTGTATGTGGCATGTTTTAAAGGAAAATTTGAGATGGAGGAGTACAGGAGGCTGCACAAACAGATGGGACTCACATACAGCCTGTGCATTGCCCTTCTACTGGAATTTTACACTTTTCCTCTGCATTTTCCAAAAAGCATCTAAGGTAAGTAACCTTTTAACCCCAAGGACAATAGAGGATTGCTCCTACTAGATGTGAAAGCAAGAGAGTAAACAATTCAGGGTCAATTAGTTATTAAGATTAATCCCAGGACCAATACAGACTATGAGTCTCCAAGAAACTTAAAATTCAAATCAAGGCCATTTAATATACAAAACACAAACGCACACACAAATAACAATTAGCTAAAATGCATAAGCTTACACACACTCACACATATAGGGGGAAAAAAAAGAGGCATCAGCTCATTATGAACAGAAATGATCAAATTGAAAGAAAAGAGTTCCACGCTAAGATCCGTACCTTTTCATGCCCTGACAGCTAGCAGGAAAAGAAAAAACAAACAAACACAAATGTGACAGTGACAAAAGAAAAAAGCAAAATCTATTTAACCATAATATACAGAATAAAAACATGAATTGAGTGAAGTTGCAAGATCTTTCTCACATACCAAGAGATTACATACAATGATTGCAATCTTCAAAAAACAAACCTAATTTATCAGTGGTTAGAGCACACCTTTCCAGTTCATTAAAAACAGATTTCTACATCTCCCTTAGACACTAGCTATTTCACTTGTGGGGCCCTCTGTTTATTCCATCTGAAACAGCCTGTCTGATACATGCCTTCTACTATGACAGGTTTCTGACAGGACTATTGCACTTCCTACTTTCCCAGAACCTACTGAATATTCTAATTAAACCACAGAACAGAGAGCACTCTCCACTCCAGACAGTGAACGCATGATATAACTGAATAACCAGAGGCCTCTGCAAAAATCCACCTAAAATGGAGCTTGAGCTTCTTCTGGAAGTGTCTTAGGTTGTTGTTCCCTCTCTCTCCTCCACCCCCAATTAGGCTAATACAGTGGAGCCCCACATGACGACGATAATCTGTTCCAGGAAAATCGCTGTTAAGCGAAATTGTCTTGATATGAAAAACAATTCTCCATTGGAATGCATTGAAACCCATTTAATGTGTTCCAATGGGGAAATTTCCTTGTCATCCAGCGAAGATTGCCCATAGGGGAAGCCATTTTCCGAGTGCCAGTCAGCTGTTATAATGGCTGCCCTGCGAAGCATTGGTCCGGAAAACACAGGGCAGCCATTTTGCGGAGCCAGAAAAATCATCGTTTTGCAAGCAAACGGTTCGCAAAGCAAGGACCTATTTGTCATCAAACGAAAATTTCCCATAGGAAACATCGTTTTGAGATCGCTATAGCGATCGCAAAAAAGTCATCGTCATGCAATTTCATCGCTCTGCGGGGTAGTTGTCATGCGGGGCACCACTGTAATATTAAGTTTTGTTAACTACCATGCTTAAATAAGGATTGGTACAGTCCTTCCGATTGAAGAAAGTTTTCCAGGAGCAACCTTTGAACATGTATCTTTTAGCTGCTAATGTATCACTCCTTACCAATCGGACTATAGATTTATGGCTCAAACAGAAAGCTTCCTGTCTCATTAACTCCTTTTCATGACCAGGGCACATGTCAGGGGTCTCCAAACTACGGCCCTCGGGCCACATTTGGCCCACCTTGCTGTTTTATCCGGCCAGTGTGTGCAGGCGTCTGGGCATGCGGGGGTGTGTGCAATCAGGCGGGCAGATGTCTGGGCAGGTGGGCGGGGGGTGGCTGTGTGTTCCCTTGGCCCTCAAAAATGTGAAAAATATATGATGTGGCCCTCACACTTAAAAGTTTGGAGACCCCTGGGTTAAGTGTTAGTAGCTTTGAAAGTTCTGACGTAGCTACCTGTTGACTACATATCTCCATTAGTACTTAGTATGTCCGTGGGCAAGTTTATAGTTATTGGAGATCTGTGCAAATATTACACTCATTAGGAGTGATTTTTGTTGTATTCTTTAGTTGCTGTGAAACAAATACAAGATAGCAACTAACATATGTCAGCTCAACCAGCAGCAACACAAGCAGACTGCTCAGCATCTTAACTGGGCTGGTTTGCATCTATTTCTTCCTTTGCATGTTGGGATTATTGGGTTTCATTTCACAGATTATAGTTAACATTGTTATCAACTGTTTTAACAGGAAGGCTATTTCATTTCTAGTATCTACAATACTCTTAATATTCCAGCAAGGACAATTCTTTGCCTGAACCATTTACAATACAACTAAATTTACAGTGCAACCAATAATTTCCAGAACATCAAATACCCACATTTGTGGGACTTCATTTATGGTGTTGATGGATAGTGTTGAATCACCAAGTCCTATGACACCTTTAAGCCTCAATATCTATCCCTCCCTCTATGTGCTCTAGTCACTGAAACCACACAGATATTTATCTGCTGTAATCTTTAAAAAGAAATACTATTTACCCGTCTTGATACTGTTGCATTAGCCCTCTCTTTGAGCTGAGGATCCGTGGGCAGGTTTAGCCATATGATATAAGGAGTATCATACTTTGCTCGTAGCCTCGGGCATCGTTTGAAGACAAAATCAATAAGAAAAAATTTGATTCCTGCATAAAGTCCTGCATAATCAGAAAGACAAAAAGAAAATATCAGTAACTGTTGGTTGATGGCCTACGTCAAATGCACAGGTTAAGTAGACAGAGCATCCAATAAGCTCCAGGCCTTTTTATTCACTGAGATATGGTGAATGGCATTTTTTAAAAATTCCTGTAAGGAAACATCTCTAAGATTATACCAATGTACATGAACCCTCCATAAAGATGCCAACTAGTTCAATATTCATAAATTATATCTGATAGCAGGCCTCTCCAGGCAGAGTTTAATTCCAGCTGGTAAGAAAATTAACTAACTGACTGACTGACTGACTGACTGACTGACGTATTTTTCCATTTATAAGACCCCACCTCAATTTTCTAACCCCACATTAAAAAAGCATATAAATGCGAGTAGATAAATAGGTACCATCTCGATGGGAAGGTAAAACGCCGAAAACTAATCTGAGGGTTTTTTCCCTCAGAATAAATTTCTGTTGCTAACGTATAGTATGGCCTTTCTGAAAATAAAGGTTGTACGCTGTGAAAAGCGCGTATTCATATTAGAGGCAAAAAAATGCACTTTGACAGGGGATCACATGATTTAAACTGAGTATTTCTGAACAATGATTTAAATTAAATTAATTTAAATCAAATCCACCCCTTTCTTCAACTGTAGCTTCTCATTCTGCAGATACTGTATTTTGGAACAAAATCTAATTGTTTATAATAAAAAAGTGGACCCGTGTCAAATGAGATATTGAATTCTAACAGCTAAGAAGTATGTCCTAAATGGAATCATTATAGCTTTACCCATTGATAGCCCTATGATCCTGTATGGAATACAGCAGGATGCAATAAAAGCCGCCCACAGAGCTATGTACAGCTTTTGCGTTACTTCAGGCTGGACCCACATAAATAAGCTGTTGAACAAAGAAAAAGGAAATAAACAAGTTAGACATTGCAATATTTCATTTTCTTAATAGGTCTGTTTAAAATGAGGAAGAAAAAGATATATTTTGGCGGAGGGGGAAGCTTACTTTTTAATTTTTTCCAGTATGTCTGACATTTTGCCAAACAAATTCTGCAAATCAAAAGACAGAAAGAAAAAAATATAAGCTTAGCGTATAAACGTTGCCCCAACGTAATTTAAAATACATCCTTAATTGCTTCTTATTTTCTGCATTGTCATCGTTCTCCATCATTACAATGTTCGATTCACCTCTAACATGGCCATTGTAGAGAAGAAAAAGAATCTTCATTCCAGTTAAGGATATCAAATGTATAAAGTTGGTATTACAAAGCAGTTACTGTTTTTTTAAAATATGTATACATTTCAACCTATGAGTTGCTAAGTACTGATCACACGAAGGGCAAAACTGCTAACCTTCCTTATAACAAGCGATATTTTAAAAGCTATGCCCCAGATTCAAGGAGTTATGGAGGAAAAAAAATCCTTCCTTCCAACAGTTTAATGATCAACACATAAGTGATCAGCATCATAACTAAACACTCATAAAGTGTTATATAAGCTATGTGTAGGCTTTGAAGAATGGACACTGAAAATATGGCAAACTTTATTGAGTCTTATATGTCTTAGACTGCTTCAACTTCTGCATCAAGTGAAAGAAAGAGACAAATTTTTGTAATTCAGGGATGTATGTACAGTATATACATTTTCTAAAATTGATTAAATAGGTTCATGAACTTAAGCAATTCATACTACACACAAGATTCATCTTACGGTGTAACTCTAATATCCCTTAGTTACTGTCTTCATCTCTATAGAGACATCCCATGTTTAACCTTGCTTAACAGATCAGGATTATTATGTTGACACAAGGCTAATGCACCCAGGAGTTTACAGGTCCATATTCCCTCCAGGAATCCCATCCTATGCATCAGTACTAATCGTGGGTAATAATTAGGACTGCATGAAACTAAAGTTTGCAAATCCATCTCAAACCCTGGTTCAGATGATAGTTATAAGGACAATTCTGATGAGTATCAACATGCCATTAAATGAAGCCATACATACACATACATGTACTGGCACCAATACACATGAATTCGAGGTGTCTTAGCCAAATATGAACTCTTAATATAAGGTGACTACAAAAAGAGACAAGATGAAACATTGGGCTGCATATTGTTGCGATCAAGGGAAGCAATATTTACTATTCTATGCTGCTTGACTAAATCTGAAATACTGTGTCTATTTCTGGACATCATATTTTGAGAAGGATCTGAGAAACAAGCATGTTCCAAGAAAGGGCTACCAGGATGGGGAAAAGTCTGGAAACCAAGTCCTGTAAGTAACAGTTGAAAGAGCAAGATACATTTAGCTGGGTGAGGAGAAGAGTAGATACATCCTACATTGCAGATTCTGCACTGAGCAGCAATATCACTTAGACCAGTGGTTCTTAACCTTGAGTTACTCAGGTGTTTTTCAACTGTAACTCCCAGAAGCCTTCACCACCAGCTGTGCTGGCTGGGGTTTCTGGGAGTTGCAGTCCAAAAACACCTGAGTAACCCAAGGATAAGAACCACTGACTTAGACCAGTGATCCCCAACCTTTTCTGCCCCATGGACTGATTGAGGGTGCAGGTTCCGTGCGTGGGGGGCACATTCGCGTGCATGCACGGATGACGCTGGGTGTGCTCATGGGGCGGAGCACCTGTGCATGCAGGTGGGCAGGCTGTGCATGTGTGGGGGTGTATGCGTGCAAGGTGGGAGGGAGATAGATCTGTCTCCGCAGCCTGGTCCTGCCAAGGCCACGGACCAGGGATTGGGGACCCCTGACTTAGACCACCTCTAAGGTACCTTTCAAATATATGATTCCGGGATATCTACGAGATTAAAATGGAAGGGGGTAAATATTGTACAGTGGTGCCTCGCAAGACGAGCGCTTCGTTTAACGAAGAAATCACATAATGAAGTTTTGCGATTGCAAAACGATGTTTCCTATGGGGTTTTTTCGTTTTGCGATGATCGGTTACCTGCTTCGCTAACCGATTATCGCAAAACGAAGATTTTCGCACACCTGATCGGCAGTTTCAAAATGGCCACCGGGTAAAAAAACCCCGGCCGCCCACTGTTTTCTGGGACGGATTCCTCGCTGCACAGGCAGCGAAAATGGCCGCACTATGGAGGATCTTCGCTGGACTGTGAGTTTCAAGCCCATAGGAACACATTAATCGGGTTTTAATGTGTTTCTATGGGCTTTTAAAAATCGCTTTACGATGTTTTCGTTTTACAGCGATTTAGCTGGAACGAATTAACATCGTAATGCGAGGCACCACTGTATATACATTCATCTGAGCTCTTAGAGAGGAAAAATAGACTATGTACGAAACAAAAATAACTTTAAAAGATGACTTGATTTTTTAAAAAATTCTGGACTAACATGTGCCTTATTATTCTTCTCTACTGATGGGGGAAACATTCAATATTATAGATATGGTGCAGACATTCACTCTCCAACCTGTCATCCTCTACCTGCAGATGTCAGAGACTCTGTACCTGTGCTTTTTGTGCCACATCCAGAACAAGCTGGAACTTTTCTGATACTGTTAGGTCTTCCTTTGGAGGTTCCTGAAACAACATCAGATATGTGTCCTCAGCATTTGAGTTTTCACATTAGGCATTTCGTTTACTTCTTAATCATAGCCAAAGGGAAAAAATAATTTCTTCTACTAACTGGCTCTTTTTGTAGTGTGATTAATCTTAATTCTGATTAATAAAAGCAAGCCAGCTGTATAAACCAAAGTTTGAAGATAACTTGTTTCAGAAAACCATATTTAGGGTTAATTGCAGTACCCAGTATCCCTTTGCTAGTTCCATCGAGAATGGATCCAGTGACTCAATGGAATTTACAAAGTGTTGACTTACTATTCAGTCACTAATTCAGTGGGCCTACATCTAAATGGGAGTAGCAAAGGGGTACTGGATAGTTTGCATAAGTCAAGATATAATGTTAAATTCGCTAGTGAAAAACTGAAGTATAAGCTTCTCATCTCCTCTTTCCTATAGTGATGGTGGAGCAGAGAGATGCTCATGAAAGTATGAGGTTTACCAAGGCTCAGTCACATAAAAATAAATTGTAATTAATTGTTCTGTCCAAAAGCAGAATAATGAATACTATCTCATGATTTATATCTAGGCTAGTCATAAATGTAGTTCCTTGCCTTCCCAAAACAAACTTCCACTAACAACAAACTGTTTTTTACACACTCCCACTAAATAAATCTCATTCCATTTCCAACATTTTTAATTGATTTTTCACACCATGTTACCTAATAATCTAAACATATGTACAGTATATTCATGCATTTATCCATTTATACTTCATTACTATTTCTATTTATACTTCATTATTGCCTCACCCTATGTACCCTCTTTGTCCAAGCCATGCTTATGTGGTGAGAATTCTTAAAGCTTATTACATAAACCATAGTATCTATACAGTATTGTACTTCAAAGGCAATGGTTCCTAACCTTTGGTCCTTAGATGTTTTTGTACCACAACTCCCATCTATCCTGGCCAGCACAGCTAGGGCGTTTTACTCCAAGAACATCTGGGAACCAAAATTTGGGAACCACTGCTCTAAGGGGTGGAAATATTCCCTGTCATTTATAGTGTTACATGGACAAACAGTATCTATATGTTTTAGGGAGCCCTTGTTTTCTGTTCGATTCATACAGTTTATAAATGGGTAGAAGTCCTCAACAAATAAATTATTGTGCTTCTTCCCACTTGCCATATGTAACTCATTAGCCATTTCTTCCTGTAATGCTACCTGCTGTATTTCAGAACACCACACTGTAATTAAGATGTCTTGCAGGTCTTTCAAACCTTTAACTACAGCTTTTCTTGCCAATGCCAAAACATGCCCTACTATATAAGTTTCATTCATACTAATGAGAATAGATTAATATATATCACAAGATTGTTGTAGAGATATAACAGGGTCAGTGAGAGAACTACAGATGCTTGGACTCTAAGAATGTTCTATGGTTACATACAATGTGTTCTGTATGGGGATGCCCTTGAAACTTTTCATAAATTTCAACTTCTCACTTAGACTTCTGAACAGGTCTGTACACGCAGAATACACATCAGTAAAGTGTTTCAACAGCTTTGTTGTGTGCTTGTCTATTAGTAAATATAATGGAAAGGCTTATAGTACCAGCACTTGAAGACCTAGGTAGGGTCAGACCCCAGTATCTTAAGGAATGTTCAATCCCACACAAATATGTCCATGTGTTGAGGTCATCCTTCTTTTGAAGTGCAGATTTGAGGCTTACAACCAGAGGGACATCCTTAGTTTCAGAACCTTGCCTGTGGAACAAGGTCTCCTAGAAAAGATCCTACTCTGACTTCTTTTCAGCACCAGTAAAGAACCTTTTATGTACCACAGCTTTTTGATCTCTTCTCATGTTCACAGAAACATTCCAGAAGTTATTTCAAACATATTTAGACTTACAATGGGCTCAGAAACTTCAGGCACAATGCTCCACTGTATTCTCCATCCTCTAAAAATAAATTATAGCTTCATTAAACAAAAAGACTGCCTTTCCACATGGCTCCAGAACAACAGAATAAAAGTAATGCTTTAAAAAGGAACTTGTGTGGGTAGCAGACAACATATTTTCAGATCTATTTTTGTATCTCCCCATACACAGCCATATGGAATCATACAATCCTTAATTTTCAGAAGGCTTCAGTAGATCATAAGTAATGTGTCTGCACTTAGCCAAACACTTCAACTTATATTTTTGTGTAATTAAGAACATTAAAAAATCACAAACACAATCCTTTTTTTAACAATGAGCAATAACTGTGGCATATAAATTGCATTTCTACAAATATGATATCCATTCTATGTGGATTAGGAATTTTGACTTTTCAATTGAGGTTTATCATCCCACTGTTTATGATCAAGAAAATGGTACTATGTTGTTGTTCAGTCTTCTAAGTCGTGTCCGACTCTTTGTGACCCCATGGACCAAAGCACGTCAGGCGTCTTTTAATTTCGTGGCTGCTGTCACGATCTGCAGTGATCATGGAACCCAAGAAAGCAAAATCTATCACTGCCTCCATTAAATAAAATAGATTCCTAATACTTTTTATTCCACCTTTATTTCTATATAATTGGATTTCCAAAAAGCTATTACTTAAGGTATTTTTAATTAAATCAATAATTAGCTTTTTTTAACCAGGAAAGGGGAAAACTGAAATCCCTGTTTAGGGCAAAGCAAGTACTGTATATTTGAGTCCTCTCATATTCAAACAAAGGAAAATTAGTAAATAAGCTACATATTAAAATTTCAAGAGAGTAGAAAGCAGAGTGAGTACCTGGCTATGAGGTAATTTAGGGATAACCTCAAAATTGCTAAAAATAAAAACATAGGAATGGCCCAGCCATGCCATACAGCATTCATGTAGATCTACAGATAAAAAAAGAGATAAAACATTATGTGTTAAATAAAAAGGCTGTCATGAAATATCCATGCTTCTACAATTCTATGCATATTTTACTAAGAGGTGTGTCACCCTATGTTCTGTGCATGTTATATCCACTTACGTTCACAAGAACTTCACGTTTAATTATAAAACCCCATATATAGTTACAGGATAAATATCTTTCCATCAGTAACATTTTCACAACTGTTATTGACATTAATACAACTTAGTTTTGATTTAATAAATGCAGAATCACATGAAAACTAAGGTAATAATGGCTCACATCCTGTTGGCACTTATGCCGTGCAACCCAGAAGATAACATTTTGCAGTGGAAATATTTTATTTTATTTAGTAAAACTTCCTAACCCTCACGTCAGGTTCCAAGGTTCCCTAGGGAATCTCTTTTGCCATTGAGAAGCTTTTGGGAGGCATGGGATGGGGGGGATTTTAAATCACTGCCACTTGAAATCTGGAGGTGATCTTCCAGTATGAAAAGCTTCCTCCCCTATAGGCTAAGGCTCCCATAGGCTTCTCAGGGGCAAAAGGGAGGATAGGGCATTTTAAATGAAATGAAATGATAGATTTTTGTCACCAGATGATCACATCACCCATGTTATGTGGCAAAAACTTACACCAATAGAATTCCGACCCTTATATTGCTAGGAAGGATAACAGAACATTAATCAAAGTCTCTCATGTCAAGCAGTAAACATAAACAATAGCAATGGCAGCACAATTTTTCAGATCCAATGAACTGTTTGGAAAAGGCCCTGCACTATACCAGCAAAAGATATGCATAAAACCTACATATGCTAATAATATAAAGAGGTCAACCAAATGTGAAGTTTTGCCCCTAACAGAACTACCATACTAGTAAGAGCTTAATCTGCTGAATTTCTGCCTGCCTTACAACAGGTAATGGCATAGGAGAACTGTTCTTCCCCAAGTACCAACCCGAAATTATGTAGAAGACTCAAGTCTACTAGATATATTCTACTGGGGAAACATTCTGTGAAAGAGTAAGTATAGTATCTTATATGCAGGAGGGGGTTCAGGTTTACAAAACGAAGGGTAAAATTCGTATACTTGGATTAATTTAGTATTAAATTCTTCAGTTCTGGTCATTTACATGGATATACCTTATAAAAAACGGTTCAAATTCATTTGGCTTAAAAAAAAACCCTAATACATGGAGATAAAATTTCTATAGTCTCTATCAAATATGAATAAATGACCATAACATATGTTCTTAGGACATATTGTTTGTTTATTCAGAATGTAATACTGAATTAGTCCAATCATGGGCATTTTAATCTTAGTTCTTAACTCAGAGATTTTTCCTACAAGGCTGGTAAACTATCACCTCTTCCCACCAGTTGTTGCCATCAAATTACGTTATTTTTTTAAAAAGAAAAATCAACACCCCCAACACTCCAAAAGAGTAGATAACAACAGTGGACTACACTGGAGGTTTCTTTCACTCTCGTTACAGCTTTGCCTTCCCTAAATGTCAATCATAGTTATGATTTCACTCATTGTTTACATATAATCAAAAACTAAACAACCTCCTTTTTCACAAAGAGGTATTAGTTAGAATGCTGCCTACGTATTTTGCTGTACATCTTTTATTCTACATATCCTATAACTTTGCTTATTTACAATTAAAATTGAGAGCCTGGGCTTCCTCTCTAGACCTAATAATCAAAGGTTGCTTCTCTCCCCCTCTCATGAAGTCAGGTGACAACAAATGCAGACACCTGAGAGTAAAAAAAAAGCACCCTACTGTGGTTGATCACTAGATTGTTCTTTCCTTCCATTCATCCTGCTTTTGTATTCAAGTAGGGGTGGAACTACATGTTACACAGAACATGGGGCTCTGTAAATGTCAGTCTCCTCTCTCTGTCACATTTACTTAGGCTTATCCTGGGCTTACAAAAGCTACTCTTTAGGGCTATAATTTCCAAAATCCCACTTGGACATCTTGCCCAGAGGATTCTGGGAGTTGGAGTTAACAAAAAATTCTTTTCCAAGTTCTGAAATTACTTCACGCTGTGCTATCATAATGATGATTGTTTTCCAGTCCCAGTGTATAACTACAGCTGCTGCACAAACAGTCATAGCAATAATAACCAAGGTGTGCTTTATTAGTTTAAAACACAATTAGGGCAAACACAATGGGGAGTTGAAACGTTCATTCATTTTTATGGTGAGGGCCAGTTGAATTTTGTTCTAATAAACAGATATTTCTTTAGACTACTTTCTATAGTTTCCACCAACCCTGCTCCACACATGTAGAGGTGTAATCAACACTTTAACACCAGCAGGATGTGCCCCACCCTGAAATATATCTGAATTTCAAGAGAGGCATTTTATCTGGAAGACACACACACACAAACTAATTATATCCATTGCTTGTTCCTTAGCATATGGTGTTGTCTGACAACACACAGTAAAGCACCTATTCTTTTCTTTCTCTTTACAGTGGTGCCTCACGAGACAGTTACCTCGCATGATAGTTTTTTCGCTAGACACCGACTTTTTGCGATCGCTATAGCGATTCGCAAAACAGTGATTCCTATGGGGGAATTTCGCTGGACAATGTTTGGTCCCTGCTTCGCAAACCAATTTTCGCTAGACAATGATTTTGACAGCTCCCTCCATGCCCGCAAAACGGGTGTTTTCGGGACCTAAGCTTCGCAAGACAGCTATTTAAACAGCTTTTCGGTGGTTCGCAAAGCAGCTTTCCTATGGCTGATCTTAGCTAGACAACGACAATTCTTCTCCAGTGGAATGCATTAAACAGGTTTCAGTGCATTCCAATGGGGAAATGCTTTTCACTAGATGATGATTTCGCTAAACAGTGATTTCAGTGGAACAGATTATCATCGTCTAGCGAGGCACCACTGTATTTCTGAGTTTACTATACTATGAAGTTCATGTTGCAAGGGTGGTACCACATAGTACCACCTTTAAAGTTCACTCCACCAAGGGTCACCCATCTTTCCCAGTTCAAACAGATCTCCTAGCCTCCTCCCAAGTAGTTGCTAGGTTACCTGTTTGTAGCAAGCAAGCAGTTTTATCAGTGCTCACACTGATAAAAACTGAAGCAAATAATTCTTCATTAAAGTGAAAAAAAGTGGATCAAAGTGAAGACTCCTTTGTTCTGAACATTTTGGTTTGTTTTAGCTGTAATATTTCAATTTTGAAATATAATTACTGTTGGAAGCATGTTTGTTAGAGAATGTGAGATTTTTATATTTATCAAAAGGGGACATGGGTTTTAAATGTGTGAAAAGTGTTGATAATTGAAGCATTTAAATATTTTTGTGGAAAAATTAAACAGGTCAAAGGCATGCATGCAAACAAATTGTGGGCTGTTATATAAAGAGTGGGGCTCATCTAAAAAACTGAATCCTTCATAACCATCTGGTTGCAAAATCAGTAAGAAGGTTGTACCAGCGTAAGAAAATCAACCAGACCATATGTCAATCTACTTCTGTACAGTATCTTATTTCCAACAGAATGCAATCAGAGGTTGGAAGAGTCGTTGTAACTGAACAGACTTTGTCAGCTATTAGCCACAGTGTCTGAGGAATCCCGTGGGTTAAAGTCCAGGAAGCAACCTTCCTAAACATTCAAACAGGTATATGTGGGAAAGCCTACATGCGGAACCTGGTGTTAACAGCCCTACATCCGGAAGTTTCGAAGAGATATTACACTAACTTCATGAAAGGGGAAAGGATTTCTATTTTTCCTGCAGCATTTTAACAAATCTTGAAGAGTGGAACTTTTCTTATTTCTTCCAGCCTAATCAGCCATTAGGTTAATTATGCAGAAGACACAGAATATGTTTATACTGTCCTCTATCACATCCTTAAACCATTTTCCAGCCTTCTTATTAGAAACAGAAATGAAACTTTTCCCTCTGCAAAGGAAAAAACTTTATTTTCCATCATTCAACTGTCCGGGCCCAATTCAAAGTGCTTGTTTTGACATATAAAGCCCTAAACGGCTTGGGCCCTGGATACTTGAAGGACTGCCTCCATCCATATGAGCCTACCCGGCTGTTAAGATCTAGCCAGGGGGCCCTTTTGAAAGAGCCGTCCCTCAAGGAGGTAAGAGGGATGGCTTGTA